GTTGTGGTTGTGTGACGCTGCTCCACCGCTGTGGCATCGCCACAGGTGCCCACTGGGTAACGAGAAGAGAGTAGCAGTTCTGGCATTCCTGTGGCCAATGGGACAACCTTCAAGTGCCCGCCATTAAAAACTGTTACCATGGTTAATACACCTCTCACATTCAGCACTCAAAAACCCGGTGACCTTAAAATCAGCTCTCCCGGTACTTTCACTAGTTCAGCAACTAGTGGTATGCGTTTATCGAATTCTATCCCTGATAAAATTCTGGTGGGGGAGTATTGTGGCGTAACTACCACTACGAAAATTAAACATCAATAATTCACTGGTATATAAGACACGCTAACTTGATTCAATCACGAGGTACCTTTTGATAGATGAAGGTTGGCATGGTCGATAACTCCGCCCCACATTGGTGACCCGGACGTGATTTGAATTGCTCTCCCCCACAATGTAATAAAGAACAATAAATAATTGTTAAAAATTATTTTTTTTATGAAATTATCTTTAGGTAAACGAGTTTCTTGAGTGAGTGCAATTCTTTTTTTCAATTAGTTTTAAAGTTATGATTAAAAATTAATAAAAAGAGAATTAACATTAAGAAAACCGAACTTTAATCCAATGTATTAACCATAAATTGACTTCCCGTTAGTCCTACTCATCTTCTGAATTATTTAGGAGCCTCCTAGAGGTAGCAGTTGGTTGAGTAGGAGAAAAAAATTTATGTTCTCAGACAACGGGGTCTTTTAAACCTGGTGTAGGCTTTCCTACACCAAGGGGATGAATAACAGTAATAACAACCATAAGTTGAAGAGGTTGTTGATTGGCGTATTTCCAATTGTCCATATTTTATTCCATTGCGATGTAAGGAAGAGTGATGTAGATATTAAACAATAGGAACTTCTTTAATGAAGTATTAAATTCGGTAAATAATAAAAAATATTTTATGTCAGAAATATGGAATTGTATGAAGCTCCAAAGTAAAAAAAAATCATTTGTATGTACAGAAAAATTAATAAATTTAAAAAAATGGTCCAGGTGGGTGGCAACAGGGCTAGGCCCTACAAGACAACTCCGTCCACCAAGAAATCAAAAATGCCAGTGTCATGCGTACATTAGCATAGTTTTCGTCAAGGAAAGTTAAAGAATGCATGTATTGAGTTAATAGATTAAATTTAATGCCAAGGCTCTTTTTCTTAGCCTTAGGCATTCAAATGTGTTGTCAGAAAAGAAAGTGTGGGAAATAATAAAAAAAATTTATGAATTCAAAACATAATATACCATATAAAGGTTTCGCTGTTGTAGTTCATTTACGTCGCACTAGAGCTGCACAATGGGCTATTGGCGATGGTCTGGGAAACATCCCTGGGGATGATTTGAAGACATGCCATCGCAATTTTGATCCTCTGCAGAAGAGATGGCTCCCCGAATCGGTAGCCCGACAACTTTCACGCGAAGTCGAGCACTTTACGGTAGAACAGTTTAACGAGGACCAATACCGCACACCTTCATTCCCTACGCAGACAGATCTAAGTGGTCACCCACCCACACACTGACCGCAGCCAGTGATGCTTGACTTCAGTGATCTGCTGTGAACCGTGTCTTAACGATCAGTTCACTGCGGGACTATACCTAAGTGTTTTCGAATTCTATGCTAATGTGTTACGCAGATGTAGATTGAATCTATAAAAAAAAATTATTCAGCACTCAATTCAAGATTGTGGTATAAAAAGATTACAGATAATATTAGTGATTTTTATTTATTGAAAAAGGATTAAATAAGAAAGGAATTTTGTTTTTAAGTGTTTGAAATATGTTATGTATATAATTTAATATGAAATATGCCATGCATNCATTTCACTGCGGGACTATATCTAAATGTTTTCGAATTCTATGCTAATGTGTTAGGCAGATGTAGATTGAATCTATAAAAAAAAAATTATTCAGCACTCAATTCAAGATTGTGGTATAAAAAGATTACAGACAATATTAGTGATTTTTATTTATTGAAAAAGGATTAAATAAGAAAGGAATTTTGTTTTTAAGTGTTTGAAATATGTTATGTATATAATTTAATATGAAATATGTTATGCATATATGCATATTAAACTATTTTTAGCACCAAACTATTGCCCATTAAGAAAGTTCTAGAAAATATTTCATGAAGTGATATAAAGTTCTACCAAAGAAATATTTCAAAAAAGAGAATTTAAATTAATATTTTTACGTTTATATCGTTAAAACGCATCGCTAGCTTCGTACAGCATGAAACTTGGAGGACTGGTTTACATTATGTCAACGGAAGCTACCCTTCTTTCTTCATGTATATTCTTTGGTGGTAGGGCACAAATTCCAACACAGCTGCTCTAAACTAGCATACACACGTTATCCTACGAATTTACTACGCATTTCATGTTCGAAAGTACCAAATTTGTTTTGTTTTTAAATAAATATTTAATATTGAAAGTTATTTTTGTTTACAAATAGATCATAATAGAATGGTAAAGTTAATCTTTGAGAGAGAAGAATTGGTCACCAATTCATAATTAGTGCCGTACTTGTCGAAGTAGAATACAGGTAAGAAGGATCGATCTGCAAGGATTAAGTTTGGATTTAATAAATTAAAAGATTAGATTTATAGATTTAAAAATTGCCTTTTAGTTTACTGATTTACAATTATTAAACGTAAGACAAGCTATTATAAAGAATCACGTATTTCAATTTTTACTTCGTTGCAAAGATCAAATAATATAAGTAATAACATCAATGGTTCAAAAACAGTTTTAGTTTTTATTCTAAGTTAATGCAGCATGAGAAATGTTTTTATGTTGTTTGTTTGTTTGCTTGCTTGCTTGCTTACTTGTTTATTTGTTTGTTTGTTTGTTTGTTTGCTTGCTTGTTTGTTTGCTTGCTTGCTTGCTTGCTTGCTTGCTTGCTTGCTTGTTTGCTTGCTTGTTTGTTTGTTTGTTTGCTTGCTTGCTTGCTTGCTTGCTTGCTTGTTTGTTTGCTTGCTTGCTTGCTTGCTTGCTTGCTTGCTTGTTTGTTTGTTTGTTTGTTTGTTTGTTTGTTTGTTTGTTTGTTTGTTTTTCAAACCTTTTTAAGCAACTCGTCAATATTGCAATCAGTTACTTTAGGTGTTTTTTTTTCTCAAAACTGAAAATCCCAACACGAAAGGAACATTTTCTCCACTGCAGAATAACATGAATTTCGGTATACTTAGTTTTGAAGCTTTAAAAGATACTTGATTTTACATTAATTATTTGACTGATTTCGTTCAAATGCTGTATTTTGCAATACAAAATTGTATTCTTTAAAATGCCGTAACTTGGGCTATTAATAACTAAATTAATTAAAATCTTAAATGGTTACTAGAAATTAATTTTTACGTAAGACTATCTTTGGATCAACAAATAACTGCAACTGCATGCAAAAAAAATTTCGATTAGCTTAAACATTTCTCGAGATATGGCTAAATATGTAAAAAACGGAAATTAACATTAATGAGTCCAATACCGTCTACTTCTATCTGGCCAAACTATTACTATCCCCATACTTTGATGGCATTCATAAATAAACATAACTAACATATCCATTATGAATAAACATAAGTATTTATATTGATTCGTAGGAAAAATGTTCCTGTGTCTGATTTAGTAACTTGATATATGATCTTTACTAAATTATATTCTTTTATATTACATAATTGACATTTAACAGCCAGCCCAAATTTGAATTTACGACTAGCCAATTTAGATCCAATCTAGAAAAAAGACCCAATGTAGAAAAAAAGGGAACTCCTAAAGCAAGTGTTGTGAGAAATTTACCTTTGTGGACGGCTTTTTGATGGAACTAACCTCCATTTGCGTTACATGGAAAAGAGAACCACGAAAACATCCCACGGTTAGCTTGATGGTAAGGGGACTCTATCCCCTGATCCGCCAACCACTGAAGATATTTTACGTCAGCTCTGAAGTCGGTACGATCCGGGTGCGGAATTCGTGTCGATCAGCCATTGTTGGGATTCGTACCCGGTTCACCTCATTGGGAGGCGAGCACTTTATTCTACTAAATTACTAGCATATTTGTACTACATTACTAGCATATTTAAGGTCAGAAAATCGAACCATTAAGATAAAAACCATTCATTGTTCCAGGTGTTCCTTTTTTTGCGCACTGTACATAATCTTTATGTTATTTACATCATATTAAGGAGAGTATTTAACCTAACATTTAGTCTAAAAAAGTTTATGAAACAAAAGTTTTATCAATGAATTATACCAAACACTTTCCAAATATATTCCATTCCAATATTTTTTTTTAAAAAGCTCTTATTAAATTAATCATAACTTTATACTCGTTACTTTGTGTGAATTGTCAGTTTTTAAAAAGTATTCCTTTAAATTGATACTCCATAACATTACAGTCATGGGAAATTCGCTGTTTCAAATAAAGTATCATAAAATTTCACTCTAAATTTTCATAAAATTAACAATAAATTACAACTTATAAATTTCACAATTTAGCTATTTTATTTCATAAATTCTATGAAAAACTGCGTGGCCAGCATATACAAATAAAATGATGTACAATCTTGTACATGTTCGATCAAAGCAACTATTTAAAATCGTAAAGAAATAATAAGAAATTTCACACTATTTCTAAAAATATTTAACAAATTTTTTTCATAAACAAGTATTAAATAAGAATTATAAAACGCTTGTGGATTAAATTGTGTTAGTAAGCAACCAAAAGAATGATGTTAAAGTTTTATCACAATGGAATCAAAATACTTCCTCGTCGAAAATTCTTCTTCATCTCTTACTAAATATTCTTATTTCTTCAACTGTTTTGAAGCCAACCCAATTAATAAATTCCATATCTTTAACAAAACCTAATTAGTTTGTTTGGAAGATTTATTGGCTAAACAGACAACTATGCAGTAGAAATCGAACATTTTCGAAATAGTGTGTTTTTAATGATTGCGAAGAATCCACTAAAATAAATGGCTAACAAGTTTTTTTAATGATGTTATTACTGCGGTTTTTCATGAGAAATAAATAAATAGCTTTGTTTCTTTAGGGCAATGCAAAATCTGGAAATTTTAACAAGATGGGATAGCCTCTCATTAAACAAACAACTAATCGTGAGTTTTTTAAGCGAGTGAAAACCCTCTGTTTAAATATATATTTTGGGAGCACAGATAATGATTCCAACTAAGCCTAAAGATGATGACATTGCAGTACACTTGTGGAATATTGCTTCTAGGTAAGGAAAGTATTTTAGTTTTCTTTTAAAACATGTTATGAATTTGATAATTAGAAAATCTTTTAAATGTTTCCTTTGTTTAAGAAAAGGTTATTTTATAGTGTTTTCAATATGTTTATTTATTTCCACTTTTGTAACTTCCATACATTTCTTAACCTTTGACGATCATATCAGCTTCATACAAAGATGTCATACTAGTCGGAATTAATTCCTTAGGACACTAAAAGGTTTCTTGTGAATTGCTTCTCATTCGCATAATTGTTTAGTCTTTAAATCCGATATTTTTGTTATTAAAATATGTAACTATTTAAGGCACATTTCATTAAACTGTTAACGAGATGAATGATTGCTTCGATTTGGAAATCTGTACTTGAAATCTGTACTTGGAAATGTACTTAAAATCTGCATTTGGAAATCTGTACTTGAAAAAAAAGTATACTTAGAGTGTCTGACACAACAAAAGAAATGAAACAGATATTTCTCCTTGTGTCATTTCATCGATTCAAATCAAACAGTTCTCTCTCTCTTTAACTCTTAAATTTTGTTTTTAAAAATTTCCTTACAAATGTTAAGATGTTATATCGTCTCTCTCTTTCTCTCTTTTTTTTTCATTATTATTATTTATGGCATAGTTGGAATAATAAATAAGAAATAGTTTTTCTCGTCAATAATATATAATGATAGCTTTATATCAAATTACAGTTCAAATTGGAAACAGTTTTCATATCGCATGATACTTTTATATTTTTTAAAAATTTACAAATGTTATGTCTGGCAACATCTCACTCTCATATTTTTTTAATTACATTTATTTTTTTAGCATCAATTCCAGCGCCAGATTATAAATTGAGATTCTCCGGAGAAATAAATTTTTCTCAAACAATGGATAAATAAACATTAAGGAAAAAAAAAAGGTTGAAAAATCGCGAAAACCGCACTTAAAATCGCAATATAGAACTTTTAAAAAATGCATCATAAATTCATAAATGAAAATGACCCCTTCAGCACGAAAAACTTGTAACTCTGTAAGTGCATTTTTGTGGCCTGTAAATCTGCCCGCAGTCTATTTTTTTACAAAACGTCAAACAGTTAATAATTCTGAAATTTGTTAATGGATGTTAAATTGTTTTTACAGACTTTTCATAATTATTCTATCGTATTCCCTGTACATTCTTCTATATACCATAGTAATTTCAAGTTTCTACGTCTTACATCAAAACAAATGTAAGTTGAAAACCCAAAACAGCGGCGATTAAGATTTCTCAACATAAAAAGAAAAAACCACTATTGCACTTAACCTTTTCACAACTGAAGTATAAAGGAATATTGCAAAAAAATATTTTACAGTTCAGAATTTCCATTTTTGCTGCCATAGGTCATAATAGGATAAACAAAATAAGATATATATAATTACAAAATAAGATTGTACTTCCAGGGGGTAATAATTTTAGGTACACAGACGTGGACCTCGGGTTTAACAAAGTAAAATAATACAAACATTTGAAATGTTAAATTGCACCTAAAGAAGGAAGAAACAAGCATACTGTTATATTATGGTCTATTTGAATACAATGATAAATAGAATAATTATCATAATTATTTAGAAAAGAAATAAATTTTAAAAAACATGAAATTTTTTTACAATGAGATGCAATACTTAATGAAACACTAATGATTACCAATTGATTACTGTGCATGAAATCTCAGTTCCAAAACTATTTTAGCTATGCAAACCACGCAAAATAAATAATTATTGCAAGGAATGAAACATTAACTATGAAAAAATATTTAATTCCTGTGGTAAAATTTCAAAATTATGGAAAAAAAACACAATAAGTTAAAGTTAAATGTATGTATGTATCTAAATATAAAAGAATTAGTTAAAATACTCATGAAAATATTACTAAATAGATATAAAATTGAATACTAATGATACTATGAGATTTCACTCTTTTACTACGCTGTCATAAATTTCTCCATACGTACTAAGTTGCACATACGTGGACCTGCATGTTTTTGACTGTATTGAATACTCATAATATTATGAAATTTCACTCTACTACTACGCTGTCATAAATTTCTCCATGCGTACCAGTTACACGTACGTGGACCTGCATGTTTTTGACGGTATTGAATACTCATAATACTATGAGATTTCTCTCTACTGCTACGCTGTCATAAATTTCTCCATACGTACCAAGTTACACATACGTGAACCTGCATGTTTTTGACTGTATTGAATACTCATAATATTATGAAATTTCACTCTACTACTACGCTGTCATAAATTTCTCCATGCGTACCAGTTACACGTACGTGGACCTGCATGTTTTTGACGGTATTGAATACTCATAATACTATGAGATTTCTCTCTACTGCTACGCTGTCATAAATTTCTCCATACGTACCAAGTTACACATACGTGAACCTGCATGTTTTTGACGGTATTGAATATTCATAATACTATGAGATTTCACTCTACTTCTACGTCTACTTCTGTCATAAATTTCTCCATGCGTACCAAGTTACACTTACGTGGACCTACATGTTTTTGACTGTATTATTCTTAAATATTAAGTAAATACATATTTAAAAGCTTCATACAGATCATAGAACTATTAAGTCAAAAGAAAAAAATTTTTTTCAAAATAATTAAATTACATAATATATTAAATTAGTTCGAGCATCTGGGTTTAGCGTCTTTTTCTGAAATCACTTCTGTTTGCGTAGAATTCTACGCAAATAACTTACATATTCTGCATCTATTGTGGAATCTCCAGAAAGCTTAAATACCCACGAATGTTTCAATGAAGAAAAAACTATAAATTTTTCTTATAACATGTTTTAAGAAGAAAGCGAAGATCCACATATGTGGACCGAGGTAATAAAAAGGTTAAACGCATTTATTACTTTGAATTATTTTATTTTGTATTCATGGTTGTTCTATCATGCTTTACTAGTAAAAATCCACATTCATTTCTTTTATATTCAATTTTACTTCATTATATTTTATAACCATCGTTGAACAGCTGACCCAATTTTGGGCTTTCGACTACTAATGTTATGGCCTTATAATTTTGAACCCAATACAGAAGACAAGAGAACATCTTGATTAAGTAGTGGAAGACATTTGTCTTCGTGGAGAACTTTTTGATGGAACTAACTCCCATTTGAGTTACAATAAGAAAAAAATCATGAAAACCTTCCTGGGTTGCAATAGATGTTTTGTTTTCAATTTTAATTGCTATTTATTTATTGCTTTATTGAAATTGCATACATTTGCAGGCTTGGTTGCTCAATTTAGGCTTATAAGCCCTTGTCAAGTAAAAGGACAGATAGAACAATTTAGATAGAATAACAGATAGAACAACAAACATTGCAAGGAATACATCCAGGGTTACATTGGGATTCGAACCCGCCACCTCCACGCTTCACACAGCTTTTGACGGGCGTTCCCCCTCCGCTGAATATACTATTTCCGAATATACTATTTCCTTTTTTTTATGTATGAATAATATTAAGTGCCCAATTAGAATACTATTACTTTATAAAATATTATTTTTGAGCAGAGTTCCATTAATTCATTTAGTTTTCGCTTATGAGTCTTTTCATCTACACGTTGATTTATATAGGTCTCCTGAATGACGTATAAGCGATGGTTAGCTGTAATTTGCTTGGAATCTCTTTACGTCTACCTTAAGAGTTCGAAGCTGATAATTCTTCCTCATCATAAATTATTGAACTCTTTTCTAAATATAATGACTGCATTTAGCTTAATTGACAAAAAAGAAACTAGTTTTAAAATTGTTCCTCTTAAATTTCTGCAGTTCTTAAATTTATGTTCAAAGGCCCTGTAAAATTCTTATTAAACTAAAATTGTTCTGGTTCAACTTGTCTATAAACCAAAAAAATATAGAAGGGAGAAAAAAGTCCAACTCCTCGAATAGGTAACTGTATACAACTTACGGAGCAAGCTACTTACTCATATATAGCAGAGCATAATATATACTAAGATCCAGCGCATGTGCATAGGAAGCAAGTGACAGTCACGTACAGGGTACGTCACCTGTGAACAGAACGTCGAACGACTCTACACGGATGGTTGTGTAAGCCGTCTCCCACCAACCGCCATTTAATTCTTTCTTTCTGTCACAAACTATGTTGGCAGATTTAATCAACATGGATGATATAAATGAATATCTTAATTAATGATACAGTACTGTTTATAAACAGTGCAAAAAATGCAGAAAAAACCAACAGTAAATAAAAACAAAAAGCTTTTCTATACACTATAAAACGTTAAAAATATCAATAAAAATTTATTAGGGCCAGGATATCCTAGTTGGCAAGGTGCCGGATTCACATTCGTGAGAACAGAAGTTCAAATCCAGAGGCCGAAGACTCCCCGTGTGGTAAATGGTGATTGGTGCCCGTTGAATCTGTCGGGTCATTAAGTTCTCCATGTTCCTATAACAATTTATACCACTGGGGGTACTAAATTGTACATTGATCGTTTTCTGGTTCAGGTCAAAATTACGATCTGTGGATGAATGACTGGGTGTATGAATGGGCCCACTTTGTAAACGAGTGTGACTTAAGGGTGTGGCGGAAGTCGAATTCTAGACCATAGATGGCGCCACTGAAAACCAAGAACAATTGCACCCCTTGCTCTAATGGTCTACGACAGTTACAACAATAAAAATTTATTATAAATATTCTTCTTCAGGTGAAATATACTATAAACTATACTTAATGTAACCCATTTTTACTGTACGGGGTTTATTATTTTGTTATTAGAGAATTTCTCCTAAGATCTTCTTAAAAGATAATCTTGTTAAAAGTAATGTTTATTCAATCTTAATAATAAATTTTAATTGTGGTTAGTAGACTTATGAAAATTTTTAAAACTTTGCCTGAACAAATAATGAATTTAAGTATAAAATTTTTAAGTTAATATTCTGATTGTTGAGAGTCTATTTCAGACAAGAATGGGATTCTATTTTCTTCATGTTAACACACAGAAACTTAAATGAACGCAATTTTTTTTTCATTCATTATTCAGTAATATTTTTGAAAAATTTGTTTTTCATCTTATTCATTGAAATGTAGTTTTATTACGTTGCTAAATTTTAAAGTTGTGTCCTTCAACACTGAAAAACTTAGTTTTAAGCGTACTCATCATCCCAAAATTTACAATTTTGTGAACGGGTTCAATATAATATATTTCAATGAATAAAAAAAATTATAAATATTAATTAGTTACTTAATGAATACAGAATAATCTGTAAGTTAGCACAGAGGAATCCATTTTCTGACTGAAGAAAACTCTTAATTTTTCTTTTACATTGAAAAATAAATTGCTTTATTAATTCTCAATCTTCTACAGTCTGGTCAGTAGCTGTTGCTTTACCACAAGAAGGGAAGGCTTTGAGGAGGAGAAGAGTCAACCATGATGAAAAAAACTTCGAACTTCCAAGTGATGTACCAGGAAACTCAGGAGAAAATGCGCCTGCTAAGTTTGGTAGAGCAATCCATCGGTCACCCTGGTCTTCCGAAGAGGCAGAATCAAGTGAGGACGAGCCCGTTAAGCTTGGTAGAGAAATTCATCAGTCAGCCTGGTCTTCCGAAGACGTAGAATCAAGTGAAGACGTGCCCGTTAAGCTTGATAGAACAATTCATCAGTCAACCTGGTCTTCCGAGGACACAGAATCAAGTGAAGACGTGCCCGTTAAGCTTGGTAGAGCAATTCATCAGTCAGTCTGGTCTTCCGAAGACACAGAATCAAGTGAAGACGTGCCCGTTAAGCTTGGTAGAACAATTCACCAGTCAGCCTGGTCTTCCGAAGACACAGAATCAAGTGAAGAAAGCAATGAAAATATCAGAACAAGAGATGGGAATAAAAACCGATGGTCATTATCAAACCCTCTGAAATTAGCATTGGATTTTGTAAATAAGTTGAGAGGAAGAGAGCCTGCTTTTCCTGTACCTGAGAAAAATCGAAACAAAAAGGTTCCAAAATATAAAAAGAAGAAGAAGAGCGACGATGTATATGGGAAATTGTTTAAAAAATGGCTACGGAAAAACAAAATTTTAAAAGATGAGGATTCACTATCTAGATATCTTTTAGATCATTTGAATGAATACAATCATAAAAAACTCCGAAAGAAGCCCAAAAGAAAATCTTCAAAGAATCAGAGTCCTAATAAGAAAAACAACAGAATAAGAAATTCAAAACCAGGTGTGAGTAACAAAAAGGATCAGACAAAAGTAACAAAATTAAATAATCATGGATATTCTGACGATGAAGGTCAAGATTCAAAAAAATTATCACCGTTACATAAAACAAAACGATACGATACCTATAGCGATGAAAACTGCGATTATTCTAAATCCGGTGATAAAAATGAAGACAATAAGAACCGGGATTCATGTAACCATGCAAGCTCTGAAATAGCAAAAAGTTTAATCTCAGAATCAGACAGACATGGAAAGAACAACAATAATAGTGATCGAAAAAAATCTAAAATTACAGAAAATAATTCACAGGGTAGTACTCTATTAAATGCTGAATATGTCCCGTTATCTGAATCTCAAAGCAAAAACACTACGAAAAAGAACTCTAACAAACCTCAAACGGACAAAAAAGCAGTTTCAATAAGTAATATTGCAACCCAAACTACAGATAAAAACATCTCTCCAAAAAATACAAATGAAAGTATCACTTCCAACACAACAGATAAAAACATCAATTCAAAAACTACAAGTGGAAGTATCATTTCAAAAACTGCAGATAAAAGCATCGCTTCAGAAACTGTAGATAAAGGTAACACTTTAAAAACTACAGATAAAAGCATCACTTCAAAAATTGGAGGAGAAAGCATCATTTCAGAAACTACAGGTGAAAGCGTCGCATCAAAAGCTACGACCGAAAGCATCGCTTCAAAAACTACAGATGAAAGCATCGCTTCAAAAACTGCAGATGAAAGAATGGCTTCAAAAACTACAGATGAAAGTTTAGTTTCAAAACCTACAGATGAAAGCATTACTTCAAAAACTATTGCTGGAAGTAGCACTTCAAAAACTACAGATGAAAGCATCACTTCAAAAAGTACAGATGAAAGCATAGCGTCAAAAACAACAGATGAAAGCTTCGTTTCAAAAACTACTGATGAAAGTACCACAGATGAAGCAGAGAAGTTCCAGAAAGAGGAATCTCAGCTTACAAATAGCAAATCTTCTTCATTCATTAAAGAAGTGGAAAATGAAAATGTTGAACAGGAAGAAAAGTACGATACTTTTCTTCAATATATTTATAAAAATTCGAACAACACATATTTTCAGGCCCTTCGAAAGCACTCAAGCAATTTATTATAATATTCTACCTCCTTCTTTGATTTGTAATCATCTTGAATAAATTTAATTAATTAATTGAATTCTTTGCTACATTAACGGTTCACGTTTTTCATAGTTCACTTTTCCTGTGATTGTGAGAATTATTTCACCTACGCTACCTGATCGCTGCCACTTGCCAACTCCTTAATTGCATAGCTGACGTTTATTATACAGTATGCTCTCGATATCTCTAAAACCTTGTTATATCAAAATAGTATTTTTTCCCTTCTCATTACATATCCACCTAATGTTAATTTGAATTCCTATGTCGAACGGTTTCTTCTCAAAACCTTGCTATTTCGAATTTTTTTCGAAATGGAAAATAAATTTTCTCGGGAAAATCACTATATAAGTTTATTGTAAACCAATTATTTTCCATTTAATCCATAATTATTTTTGTCTCACTTTTAAAAAGAAAATTATAATTGTTGTAATGAGACTCATAGTCAACTATCACTACATGTCCCCACTCTCCACACTTTTTCCCTCTCCATTCCCATGGTTTTTCTCCAACGCAATACATTCAAACTTCTTATTGAAACTTACTACAGCGAGGAAAAAGCAAGATTTACCGAAACCAAGGTCACGGAAAGTGGAAAAGTGTGGAGAGTGAGAAAATCATATAACATTGAGAGCTTTTTCTATTTGGAAAGACAATAGTGCGAAAAGTTAATTTCGAATCATGCTTTACAAGTCTATATGTATTATTTTAACTGGGCAGTTTTGCCTAAAGCTGATTATAAAAGTATAGACAACTTATTTAATGGTTAACTGTACAACGGTTAATAAGTTAGATACAATTTTAAATATGTTTATCATATGACATTGCATATTTAGAAATTGTCAAAGGATTATTTCATAACAAGGGAACCCCGCTTTTGATTTTAAGCATTTAATTTAGAATAATCAAATACAAATACCTTATGAAAGCAGAAAACATTACTAATAAATAAATATTGCCGGTAAATAACGTTAAATAAGAGATATTTTTCGAATAAGAAACAACCTTTGTTGATTTTATGATAAAGATGACCAAAAAAATCTGGAATTTCTTCTGGACGACAACAATGGAAAACTACCAGCATCTTTTCATGTTTTTTATAATAACTAGCTGAATACCCGTTCTACCACTGGGTGAATAAGAGAAAGAAAAGAATCAATAAATCAGTACTGAGAAACACAACGCAATCATGCTCAAAACTGAATACAGCTTCTTTTCTTCTGAAAATGTCACTTACCTGGTTCTTCCCCTAAGTTTTTCAATTAATGTACCTAAAACCCCTTTTTTTTTATTTTATATTTTGTTATTTCTTTGTTGGCTTTACGTTATTGAAGTAAGCAAAGCTCGTTGTTTGTAAATCATACCATTGGAATAAAGATAAAATGCATTTAGCATCACTTGGCATGATGCTATCTCCGCTGCCAATTCATGATAGTTAAAATTTACCACCTTTAAGTAATTTTCTCAGGTACATATTCCTTTCAAAGGGGTCGTTAAACACTTAATTCCAAAGTATCGGTATTAAAACTGCTTAGTATTGGTGCAGTTTTAATAATCACCAAATATATCAATTTAATATTTTATTCCTATTTTAATATATGTGGCACTTAATACATAACACTTCAACTTCTGAGTTTACACTTATTTGTCAGTGGCTGCCAACTAAAGTCGATTTTTTTTTTTTTCTGAAAAATTATAAGAACTTCATATGGATTTTGGAGCATGACCTTTTCTCTATCTGACCTTTAATTTACTGTTAAAATATTAATAAGTAGACGTGGAAAAAAAGTCGATTTATTCAAATTCATTTAAATATTAATACACTATCTTAGCTACCACTGGAAAAAATATTCTGGCATCGATTTTTTGAAATATAATTTTTTCTCGTCTAAGTCTTTTACTTAACTTAGATTTATTACTTGCTTATATATTTCATTGTAACCGCGATATATTTTTGTTTTGTGTACCTGGTAACTTCGAGGCATAATTATTTTGTTTATGTTCCACGTGACTTCATTCCTGTCTTTGTATTAAGAAAAAAATATATAGTGAAAAAATTGAAATCTTTCAGAAACAGTCTGCGTAAAAGAATTGAAATCTTTGAGAAAGAATCTGTGTGAAAGAATTTAGAATGTGTCGCTTAAGGGAATTAATACTTGATGGGATAGGCTAACTCGAAATAAAATGGAAGGAAAAGTTGTCAACGTAAGCAAATGCCACGTTTCAACAACCAATCAGGATCGAGATACACACACTACATCACTTGCAGGTATCCCATTGTATCAAATAACGCAAATCATGTTTACTTTATTTAAAATAAATTTCGGTGATAGTTCTGAATATCGTCATGATGGATTTCCAATGGTTTTAAGGATCTGACACATAATAGTATTAAGGGCTAGTCTTTCTTAACTATAAAATTACCTGTGTGATTTTAAAATCTAATAAGGGAAATCCCAATATTGTTGTAGCTGTTGTTGTAGTTAATTTNTGAGGTGGCGCTGTTGTCGATGTGTAGAGTGCAAAAAACAGTCGATTTGCTTAGAAGGGTAGTTGTTGCGTGGCGTTAAAGTTAGGAGTTTCGTTTCCATTGCTCTAAAGCATGTTTTCAAAAGATGATCAGCGGTAGTGGCTTACAATCGAGGTTGCCCGTAGCAAAAATGCAACAGGTTGGCTATTGAGGTTTAGTGGAAGCCTGTGGAGCAAATGTTTTACCGTATAGGACAGTAGCACGATGGGTTCAAGCATCTCGTCTTTTTTCGTCATTAAGCCTTTTCACAACATGCTTTAGAGCGATGGAAACGAAACTCCTCACTTAAGGCCACGCAACAACTACCCTTCTAAGCAAATCGACTGTTTCTTGCACTCTACACATCGACAAAGCCACCTCACTGCACCCATTCCCTATTTACGCATGCCCGCCCTTCTGTGAGTTTCAAGGTTAAATTGCCACTATTTAATTTACAACCCTCGTGAAAGAAAACTTGTAAACACTGCAGCGTAAAATGTAGCAAACTTTACGTTACATTTTGTTTTTCTGCACGCTATCATATTTATAAACGTGAAATTATGATAGTTAATAGAAAAATGTACAGGGATAACGATGAAATAGATTATTTTAACATTTTGTAATTTCATTTTCATAGATACGCATTTTGGGCTATGTCCATTTCGTACAATACATATTAACAGCTGTGAGCAAAATGAAATCACCGACAAGATAAACTAAAAATTTGATTTACCCCAATTAATAAAATTCTTAACTATTTTTTTAGATACCTAGCAATATTAATAAGAACTAAGTAAAAAAAATTTAAAATTACAAATTCATAAATCTTTTTTTCTATTAAACTTGTAACTGGGAACGAATCGTTCCCATCTCCCAATTAAATCTTAATTTCATTCAAAAAACTAAGATTCATTACTTATTTAACAATATTAAAAGTAATACTTTTAATTGGAATGCAAAAATAATACATATGTCCGAGAATTATATGCATGCTATTTACTCTGCAGTGTATTACAAGAATTACAGACGATATTTTAAATAGCGAAGAATGTACTTTCTTTAAAGAAACATACTTTTTTTCTGACCGATAATGATTTCTAACATCGGAAGTAGCCACAATCTGAAAAATATAACCTAAATAGTTTGGTTTGGAAGATAATCGATTATTTGCATCCCTTATTGTTAGTTGTACTTTTCGCGTATTTCGTCATATCAAGAGAAATTTTTAAGTGAATTGAAAAAGTTTGAGACACAATTATCAAATCGTTTTTCCAAAGGTAATTACATGTTATTTCTAACAAAATAGAAAGAATAACTAGTTTTGCTGTCTAGAACCAAAATAACCCTTTCGGCACCTCAAATTTTTACTTAGTTACATTTTTTTGGACTGCAATCACCCTGCAGAGTATTTTCTGCAGGAAATACGGCAGTTATTTTGTTAATTATCTGCTAGAACAAATAATAGAATTTACTCCATCGCATCCCAGTATATTCTCCTACACGCCTTGATAAATTCAAGTTTCCAAATCTTATAGTTATTGCGCTGCAAAACAAAATGTAACGTTGGACACCCAAAACAGCGGCGGCGTCTTACAATTTTTTGAATACGGATATATAACTGGTTATGTATGCATATATGGATTATAACTGACAAGTGGGCTCCACCTCCTGTTCTTTGATACTCCTCAAACCCCGAAGAATGTTATGTAGTTTGCTTTGAAAACTATCCTAATATATCTCGCTACAAAGGAAACCCATTTGAAATATTTGTTATATAAACTTCCTATCGCGTGCTGTAATCTCCCAATGATATTCTCAACCGCAACGCTCGAATACACCACCTGTAGCCCATTTCGATCGCCAATGGATGGTGTTTTCAATGTAAATGTAAACAATAACAATCTCCAGTTCAATACCTGCTCTAGTTCCGGTTAGAAAGTTTGCGACTACTTACTACAGCTTGTTCTGCGAGGCGATATTTTCAAAGGGATAATTTTGTTTTCAATAAAAGAAGTAAATTAGATAATACCATGTTTACAAGAATCTCAAAGCATAATGATCACGTTGTGAGCCAAATGGCTTTAAAATACACCGGAAACTTTAACCCGGAAGTATAGGCGGAATGGCTTGCAGCGTTCCCTAGTGTGGAAAACATGGAAAAACACTATCCAAACAGAATTAATTTTAGATGACTTTATCTCTCGGCCCTCGTGTTTCTTAAAAGATTGTTTTGAAAAGAAATTATCTAATGTTTTAATCGTGACCGTCACCTGTTCTTCTATCCTTTGTTGTTTGGCGGTCCAAATTAGCGCCAGTCTGCACTGCTAAAAAAAGTAACCTCTTCGATCCTTTACCTTGATGATTTCAATTTCCTCTTATTATAACCTTATATTTTACATTTTACAAACGCATATTTCACAGCCCTAACATGTCAGAAGTTGAACCTGAAGTCGAGGATGTAGAAGAAACTGTTGAGTCGGATAACATCGCTAATGACACGGCGTCTTTGGTAAATAAAAGATTTTAAGTTTTTATTTATGTGGAAAAAAGTCGTTGGATGTCTAATTATATTGATTTCTAATGCTTTGCTGTATTCCTTTGTGTTTATTATTAATATTATCACTCCTTGTCACTTCCAATTTAAATTTGCATATATTGTTTACTTTTAAATTATTCGCTTATAACCTGTGGCATATTAATTCGTTTACATTTGTAACTTATATATTACTATATTAGATTCTTTATTTCACAAAAATTTCGGTCAAAACCTTCAGTAAACTTTCTGTGAAGTTAAATCATAGAGTGTTTATAATTGTGCTTAATTTTTTTTAAAATAAACATAGTTTTTTGTCCAAAATGACACCGAATTTAATAAAATGCTCCTCAGTCTGGGGAGATTTTCGTATCGTGATCTGCGGCAGAATAATCGCCTAGTCTTGGCAACTTCCGGGCAGCAGCCCGCAAGAAAGTAAAAGAACATCACAGAAAAGGATCTACTTCAAAGGTATAACTCGTAGCCATCTCCAAGCAAGCATCTACATGTTTGTTTTTACGAAGAAAAAATTTGCAAGATTAAAGCCCGTTTTTCCGTTAAATTTGCAAATTTTTTTTAAAAAGACACGTAGATGTTTTTACCCTGGGTTGGCAATGAGTTATACCTTTTGAGTTGGTACCTTACTCTGATGTTCTTTTTAGTTTCTCGCGGGCCACTGCCCGGAAGTTTCCAAGACTTGGCAATTATTCTGCCACAGATCACGATATGGAAATCTCCCCTTAATGGCTTCAAATTATTAGCTGAATATCAAAAGTATTAGTTGAAATTCAAATATCAGCTCTTGTTCAGAATTCCTTGTTTCCCACAAGCAATAGAAATTACTGCTTCTGATTATACATATTGCTACAATTAGTTAATATGCTTATTATCATAGCTAAGTTTGTTTGTTTTTAAATAAAGGAGGACCAAAACAGTGTTGTTAGAACTTAAGCTAACCTCTTAAGTTTAAAGAAAGAAAAAGGCAGCAATGTTTCTCCCTGTCTCTCTAGTTGTAGCTTGAAAAAAAAAATATGATTAGAGCAAGTATTATATATTTATTTTTTCCTTCTGAATGTAGGATCCTGAAGAGTCAGAAGGTGAAGCTGAAGAGGCAGATGGGGATGCAGAAGCTGAAGGAGAAAATGATGCTGAGGAAGAAGAAGAATTGGATGATGCAACTCCTGAAGATGACTCTTTGACACCTAGTCGAAACGAAGAGGAAGACGATGAAGACCCTGCAGTATGTTTTCCCTAATTCCAAAGTTTAACAAATGAGTTTACTATTTCAAAAGATATTAACAATGTCACGATATTCTATTTTGAAACATTAAATTTGTACTGTTAGTAGTTTTTTACAACTTTTTAATTCTATCTTTATAATTCCCCACTTACATTTACTAATTACATTACATTTACTTATTTGGAACTCAAGATAAGGAAATACAATCAAAGATTATTAAGGCTTAGTATTTTAAGTTATTAGTGTTTTTTTTTTAATTTTAAAAGTGTTCATTTATTACAAACCTTTCAAATGTATTTTTTATCATTATTCTTTCCTTTGTATTTAAGACTTTTTTTTTGTAATATAAATTTTCAAATTAAGTATTTTTAAAACTCTAGTAAAATTATGCGCTATATTTTACTTCTGTCTTAACCTATTGTTTAAACTTATATCCCATCTCCTCTGCTATCAGATACTTTTTCAATTGTAACATGACAATTTTCATTTTTGTTATCAGAGTCTTCTAGAAGCGATTAAAAGGGATGACAAAGAATTTGACACTAAACTGGTAAGATGTTTAAATTTTTTGTAAGAGGAAAATATACTGCATTTATTATCATAAAAGAAGTTTTAAAAAATGCATTAAACACTATTATTTCATAATTCATTCATTATCCATATTTTCATTATTGATTTAAGCTTTTGCTATAAAAAACATTTTATCGGTATTTCAAGTTTTAAAACCTGAATGTGAATATTGGAGCTAATTTTATTGTTGTACCTAATTACATTTTATCTTTTATTTGTTGAATTAATTAAAACCATACAGTGATGTTAAAATATTACGTATGTGAGTGTCTCTCATGTAATTTTTAGTACCGATTTAATTATGTTATAACGAAATGTAATGAACTTGTTTTGAAGCGAACTAAAATTTCAAAACGTCAATTTCATCAGTTAGGTATGCTGCGAATTAAAAATATACTTATTTATTTTTATCTTGAGCTTATTTCATAAGTTACAGAATTGTCACATTTTTCTATTTTCGTGGAATTTTGTGACAATATGCAGTGTCTAAGAGTTATGTTTAAAAAGTTGATCATTATGTGCTGATTAATATATACTTTAACCTAACATATATAAACTTTTAATGTGTTTTCTATATATTTATGTCTTGACAAATAATCTAAGTAGTCAATTCATTTATCTACATATTACTAAATAATTCCCTATATTCTTTACTAGGAATCTGATCGAGGTAGAAGATTCGACTTTCTTTTACAACAAACTGAAATATTCTCTCATTTTATGACAACGGGTTCAACCGTGAAAGATGGCTCGCCCGTGAAACTAAAGCCGGGACGACCGAGGCTGAAGAAGAACGATGAAAAGGCTAAATTATCAGCTGCAGGAGAGTGCGTGAATTCCTTAAAGTTATTCATATAATTATTGCACATTTCATTACAGACAGAGTTTTAATGGACTTTATTTTTTATTTTGCTTTATTTTTGGTCAATTTCTTTGTAAATCTACATGTTTCTTTCATTCTTTATTTTTTTTTCCTTTAGTTATTTTCACATTGTTTTTAAAATCCCAATCCTTTGCAATACATTCTCCTTACATCAAGCAAATCTCAAATGATTGATCTATCTTTAACTGGCATAATTTGTAATGACTGCCATGTTAAATAGGAGTGTTAGGAAGTGAAAATGATCACATTTTGTCCCAGTTTTTCCATGAAAACTCTCAACTGTGACCCTCATTTGCTCATCGCCACATTTTTTTACCTTCCCAAAACAAATGACAGTGTGTTTCTTCTTTTTTTTTTTCACTGTATTACTGTATGATTAACAAATGAATATATTATGCAGTTACTGCTATTGATGTTTCTATTTTTATTATTTATTAAAAATATGTGAATGACTATAACTGTCATTTGCATGTATATCAACAAAAGTTGGACAGATGTTGCCCCTATTTGCAGCATTGTGTTAATTTCTGCTTGTTCATGTTATACCAAGTAAATTACTAAATAAGTTTTTTTTTTCTTTCCTAGGCAAAAGAAAACTACTGATGATAAGGTAAAATTGTCTGCTGCAGGGGAGTAAGTAAATTTTTCAAATCAAATTAACTTTTTTCATTTAGAGTTAAGTAGAATAAACGAGCTTATCAAAAATATATATCATGGTGCGTACAGACTTCTCCTTATAAACTCCTTTGAAATACAAAAGTCTCCAAGGAGTACTTGGAACTACTTAGATTTCCAAATAAGTCCTTAGAAACTCCTTAGATTATTGTGTTTCATACATTAACTTACTAAGTCTGCTGATGAATCTGCTGTCCAAGCAGGGAAACTAAATTATATGACTTAGCTATCAAAATATAATAGTTTTAATAAAAACTTTTAAAAAAAATTGAATTGCAAGAGTTAGAAGACATAAAATAACAGGAAATTTTAATTTTACATGTAACAAGCAAACTTAATAATTTACTGTCATTTTTTTTTTTTTTTTTTTTGTATAAAATGCTATAGATTTTCTTATGTATTCAAATTTAAAAATATAAGAGTGGAAGGTTTTTATGTTAATCTGTACTATGTACTTTAACAAGATTTATTAAAATATTTGAAACTGGAAAATGTATTTANCATTTCCAAAATACTTGATTATACATTCACATACATTATGATGTCTGGCTTTTAAAGCAAAGCCCAGCGATATAACATAAATAAGTCCTTAAAATTTTGGACTCCTTAGATTTCTTCTTCTGATCTCTGTATGAACCCTAATATATACTTGTAGTGAAATGGTAGCCATCTACTGTACATTGTGGATGGGCACCTGCATTAACCTAAATTGATACCTCATCCATCTTTAAAAATAAATCTGCGAAAATATAAAGTGTAATTAACGAATTGTTTTGAGGCTTTAACTGGTTGCTTAAATGAAAATATTTCTGGATTGTGTAGGAATTTGTCAAAACCATTTAAAGAAGCAATTAAAACAGTATCAGAAGCAAAGGAATTTATACTAAAAGAATTACAGGCATTACAACAGTCAATGCATGACAACAACATAATTACCTAAATACATATTAAGTGAAATCTGTTTCTAGGATATCTCATTGCAGTGTTGAAAGGTTGATTATGTATTACTTTATGAACTAAACTCGATCAATTAGGATATGTGCTGTGAAAATCCTCCAATTCCTAGCTCTTACACAAGCGCAAAAATAAATTCTAAAGCTGTAATTTGAGTGCAACCAACAAGTTTTATTTCCTTGTTATTTTATCTAAGCCACGTTTCCTTAGGTGCTAGTCCACTTCTATGCTGTCTTAAGCAGACTCATTTGCATGCATACTATTTAGAATTGTGACACTTTTTTCTTGCATTAGTGTGTTTTAGTTCCATTTCTCAAAGCAGGGAATGAATATATTGGCAAAGGTGTAATTTGAGCAATAGGAGGTCATGCTTTTTTTATGTATTGACTAAACAACTGGGAATTTCACTTGTTTGAGTTCAACATTTTTCCGAAATTGTAATTTAATCTGTTGTACTTCATCATTGCCCAATTAAAAAGAGCAATTTAAAGAAGGTTGAATTTCAGACTACTTGAAAATAAGATTTTTTTGTCGAACTTATGTTTTATGCATGGCAATAACTGATAATCAATGATTATTACTTAATCAGTATTAGGTACACACCTATATCACAAATATCAGTTTGCAACATATGCCCAGTTTAAGGAGGGAAAGCAAGTTTGTTATTGGTTGGGGTCACAATCATAATACACAGATAATTCAACAAAACTGATTGTGTGACATAGCTTCTTTGTATACAGATAGTCCTTAATTTTCGTTCCATAAGCTTTTAAATTTTGTAGTCAAAGACAGGCATTCATTCCTTTTTTGTTAAAATGATATACAAATAAGGCAATGCAATTTGCAATAAAAGGTTCATGTATCTGTTGTAATCTGACTAATTAATTTGTGCTCTTTTCTGATCCTATCATTAACTGTTCATACCGTCGCGATTTACAAAACATACATTGCAATTCACTGTCAGTACTGATATTGTGGTGTAGCAAAGTAGTTATTGTGTTCTTAAATTTTGATATTTTATCTAATTTTGTACATTTTCTATGAACTGAAATTTGATTTAGCAGATTGAAAAGAGAATTTGTATTAATAACATAAATTCTGTCAATTATTTATCATAATGTGTGTGTAAAGTAATATTTTTTTAATTAAGTTTTAAAAGTTGGCAAGCATGTTAAAATAACATATGGCTATTTATGCCACTCAACTTTGTTGGTTGATGTGTTGTGACGATTTGGTGCACGTGGGTTGCTGCTTGATTTTGTTTTAAAGTTTGTAACAATACCTCCTAAATTTTACAATCAGATATTTTTAGAATCATATTCTGAAGCTTTCCGTGCGTAATTAAGTTGGATAGCAAAAATCATAGTGGCTATTTTAAGCAGGCCACACAGCAATGCTGAATGGGAAAAGGTATTCATCATTGATTTTTTTAAAAAAAAAATTAACGCAGTTTAGAAATTCTTTGTCACTAGAGGACGTTCTAATTACCAAAACCACTCAAATTGGGTGTTGTTAGGGGCAGGCCTTCGATAAATAATTCTTGAAAGCAGCTGTGTCTGCTACTTACAAACATTTAAAGCAATGATTGTTTCTTTATTAACCTTTTGCTTACGGCTGGTATAACATGTAGACTGCCTATGATGGTGCAACATGGAGCACACCTTCAGCACAGGTTAAATCTTAATGTTAATTTATTTTATTAATCTAGAAAGTGAATTTTGTAATTATGAATGAGTATAAGTATGTTTTAAAACAATTGCATAATAAAATGATTAGTCAAGATTTAAAAAAGTTTTTTTTTTGTTATCATTTTCAAATTGAAAATAATGTATACAGAATTGATTTGTGTAAAAAAAAAAAAAAAAAAGCCCTCTTACATAACATTTTGTTGAGTAAAACGGTAACTCAGAATTGTAAGGTCGTGTAAATTACGATGTTATCCGGTAGAGATATTTAATTTGTTTTCATTTTTTTTTCATTACATATTCTGCAATGACCTTTGCTGATCCATTCATTTGAAGGCTGGAGAAATGTTAAAAAAAAAAAAAAAAAAAAAAAANAAAAAAAAAAAAAAAAGAATGTAATCTTTATCTGCATGTTCAAATATAGTGTAAGTAGTTGGAAAAAGTCGAAATTATCCCATCAGCCCTCTTAATGTTTTCAATTAAATTAATATATGTTAATATTAAATAGTCAATTTAAACATCAAATTAGTAGGGATTAAATAGCATACTTAAATCTTTTCACTATTAGCGTTTTGGGAAGTGGTTTTATGCAATGCAATTTAAGTTTTGTTATACCAGAATTAATCATTCTTGTTTATTTTAGCCATCGCCATCGTATGACAGAACAAGAAGAAGATGAAGAACTACTGACAAATGCTACAAAAAAGAGCTCCAAAGCTGTCATTCGTTTTGAAGCATCACCATCATGTAATTTTGTTTATTTTAAACCGTTTTTGTAGACTAGTAAATAAAAACATTTAATTGTAAATATGTTTTTTAACAAAATTTTGAGAGGGGAGATAAACTTAAACTGACAGTACTCAGAGGTTAATAGCTTCGATTTTATAAAACATATTTAAAGGATTAATGTATTTTGTTTTTTATTGTTGTTTTTGATAATAAAGTATATATTTATTTCAATGAAAATAGACATTTTGGTATTCTTTCTATTATTTAGATCAGGAGGGCATTTCTTTTTTAAATTAATTAGTTTTGTAATGTCAATACTTCAAATTCAATAACTTAGAAATATAAATAGTCATTGAACACAATTATTGAAAGTATATTTAATGGGTTAGCTTCTCAATCGATTTCATGCAAATATGGGTGCAATTTATCTCAATTCATTTTGGTCAAGGTATTTTTAACTAAACTGTTTTGTTAATTTATGCAAAGACTTTTATCATATGCATATAACAAGTTTAATAATCATTTTGATTCATTTTCAAAAATTTGTAAGAAAAATATCAACAAAAATTTGTAATTCTAATATTAAACTGATAGGTTTTAAATGGTTTAAAGGCATTTTTATAGCATTTCTTTTTTTAAAAGTAAACAAGCTGTTTTCTGAGAAAGTTTCTAAAACGTGTGAAAATAATTTATCGCTTAAAAGAATTATACCAGCATAGGTCTTAACACAGAGCAGTTTCTTTTTTTAATATAGATAATTCAAGATATTTAAAATATTCGCTGTAAAAATCTTGATTTGTTATTTCTACTGTTTCTGAAATGGTAATAACCCTTTGCTTATTCTACATTTATTTTAGATATTGCTAATGGTGAGCTTCGTGATTACCAAGTCAGAGGTTTAAATTGGATGATCTCCTTATATGAACATGGTATTAATGGAATTTTAGCTGATGAAATGGTAAATATATTTCTTAAAATTATAATCTTAATTTTTCCATTCTGTCAATAAATAGTTCTTACTTTTTTCTCTTTTAGGGTTTAGGTAAAACCTTGCAAACTATCTCCCTTCTTGGTTATATGAAACATTATCGTAATTGCGATGGTCCTCATATGGTAATTGTGCCTAAATCTACACTTGCAAATTGGAGGAATGAATTTGAAAGGTGGTGTCCGTCACTAAAGGCAGTTTGTCTTATTGGTGACCAAAATACAAGGGTATGGTTATAGCTGCATTTTTTTTTCTTAAGTTACTATTTTTATAACATTTTACTTATGTTAAAGAGTGATATTTTGTCCGTAAGAATCCTATTTCTTACGAGACACTAGCAGGTTGGCAGCAGTTGTGCAAATCGCTCCAAAAAGAGGTTTGTGCTCCAGCTTGCTCCAGAATTATAGTTTTTTTTAAATTGTACCAAAGCTGCTCCAAAAAAGCTTCTTGGCCCAATTTGTTTTCAAATATCAGGGTACTTCGAGATTATCCCATCGATCTATATTTTGGGATTATCCCACCAACCTGTACTTAGGATTATGCCGTCGACCTGTCAATGCACCAAAACAAAATAACCATTTTTTTTATTATTATATAATTACACATTGAATTATTACCAAATAAAATAACCTGTCAACGCACCAAAATAAAATAACCATTTTTTTTATTATTATATAATTACACATTGAATTATTCTTGAATCTAACCATATATATTATAAATCATTTCGATGGCCGAAAATCCTTCATAACTTTTAAAGCGCAAACAAACAAGTCATTGTGCATGTGCAGTCGCTGCCACATAAATTAGTTTAAATATGATTCCAAGTGTTTTGGGGTGGTTGCAGTTATTGGCACAAAAGCTACCTTTTGGCTATAATATCAGGTTAGGCAAAAATGGTCAACAGGATAACCCCAAAGTACCAAAATCAGTTATCAGATCATATTGAAATTGGAAAACATTGTGGAAAAGCTCAAAAACGACAGCTAATGACATGACTTTATGATGGAATTGTTCAAAATCGAATGTGTCAAAAGGTTTTTGTTTTTTTTTCCCAATGCCCACCTGTATTAACATTCGTCAGTTCAGGCATATACGGGCGATTTTGTTGGCCTCGCTTTCAGGGGCATCATATTAGGTGGGCCAACGTCGCTGCCACAGTGAGGACAGATAGTACAGAGAAGGAAAGAACATCCATGCCTTGCCCGGGATTCGAACCCAGAACCTTTCTGATGCAAGGACAGTTCCTTGCCCCCTCCACAGGCCGGTCGGCGTGTGTCAAAAAGTGATTACTCAAATTCAAAGTTTGCAAATCGTAATAATGTATTAAAATATCAGAATTTAAAAAACTTTGTGAAAATGTCAAAATCATGTGAATTAACTAGGAAATCTGCTAGAATTGACCCTTTTTTTATCTATTGGAAATCGTAATCAGGATCAAAAAACAAATATGAAAGTTACCTATTTTACCTGATTTGTGTCTGAGTTTTTAGGACTCTTAAATTATACTAAGAAGAAAAAAACATAAATTAATTTTCTAACCAAAAATTCTCCTTCCTTTGAATTCATGTTTATTGAAACACAAATTTTTAAAAAATTGCAATGTTTCTGCATCAGTTGCTAAATTTAAACTATATACCCAAAACCCATTCAGTTAAGATATTCTAGATATCTCAAATCAGTAGTGCTATCTCTAAAAATTAATGGTTAGTTCTAAGAAATCTTTTTTTCCACTATACAATACTTTTGTTAGTTTTTTTATAATTCCGTTACTTTTTCATGTATTAGTATTTACTTTAAATATGAGGTGAACTTTTTAGGCTTGGCATCATTTAATTTGTTTCGGAAGAAATTATTTTCAAGTTCAAATGTATTATTACCCTGTTTAAGTCCACTCTTAACTATTATCACAATTTGATGTAGATTTTTATCATGCAGTATTTCAATATTGAATAATAATGGTCATTAAATTTTAAGGCGCATATTTACTTTTACTCTTTTTTTAGTCAATTTAATTTTATTACATTCCAGAATGTATTCATCAGAGATGTCTTAAATCCTGGTGACTGGGATGTGTGTATAACTTCTTATGAAATGATCATCAGAGAAAAGGGAACATTGAAAAGATTTAACTGGCGCTATATAGTTATAGATGAAGCTCATCGTATCAAAAATGAAAAATCAAAGGTAAAAATAGAAATTGGTGTATGTGCTATTTATTATTTATTTTTATCAAATAATTTTGAATAGAATTTTTTTCCCTTTTTTATTTTTAGCTTTCTGAGTTTGTTAGAGAATTCAAATCCACCAATCGCTTACTGCTAACAGGTACCCCATTGCAAAATAATCTCCATGAGCTGTGGGCTCTTCTGAACTTTTTACTACCTGATGTGTTTAACTCTTCAGAAGTAAGTTACTTGCTTACTATTACTTGCTTTTTAAATCAGATTAGACCAGACATTGATATGCCTATAGTTGATTAAGCAAGAGGGTTATAAAACCAAATCTAATATTGATTCTAATGTATTATATATGCGCAGTTCGTAAGCGCCAGGAAAATGAGATTAGAAGGGAAAAAAAAGGTCAGGAGAACATAATTTTGAATAAATAAATGTTTTAAACAACATTGATTTTCAATGAATTCTAAGCCCTATATCTCTCAAAAAATTCATTATTTCACTCTTTTGTTTGTGGCTGCCTTAAATACGAAATAATAATAAAATTAATTGCCAAACAACTGTTATACTGTTGAAATTCTTCTTTTCTGCTAGTATTCCTAGAGATGAGAGGACTCTCAAAATTCTTCTGTGTTTACATTCTAAGAACGATGTTTTAAAAACTGTGGCAAAGTGTAATGAATTATGGACATATCATAGGTTGATTCGTGATTTCCGTTTGCATCTCCTGCACCCTCCCCGCCAACCTTTCTGAGAATTAAAAGGACAAACTGCATATTATCTTATTTTTTTTCCTCAAGAAAAGTTTTGTCTCCCTTTTCCACTCTCTTCTGCACTAATAACATCATGTCACTGAGAAGCCAATAGTGTTAATTATTTAAAATATTGATGATACTTGGACCGAAACTATGCTCATTGTTTATCTCTTGCTAAGTCATTGGATGATGTTGTAAAAGTCTCGTTCATCTCTAGTGGTGACAAACCATGCTTGTGAGACAGTGTTTTCCTCCCAGAAGCCAGTTACTACTCAACTTTTTATCTACCTGTAAAATAATCTGTGCCAGATGCCCCGTATCTTGTAATTAGTCAATGACTCCAAATTTCGATGTTTAAAAGGCCAAGATTTAATCTGAACTCTCCCTTTGTTTGTAAAAGCTACTGTGTAAAATCTTTCCAAAGGAAGAGTCTGTTCTCTGGCATGAGACTATGTTATGTGTAGTTATGATTATATTATCTTTTAATCTTAATCATTTGTACTTCATTCACATGTCACAATCATCAAATGAATATGTTTCTAAAGGAGTTGTGCTTTCCTGTGTTCTGCCACTACATCAATTCACTGTTATTTAATGATATTTTCTGGTGTAAGAGGCCCATACCCGCCCATCATTAATACATTGTTTTATGTGTAGATTAGTACCGCAATGCTTGAACTTGAGATACATTCATTAATTAAGTTTTCCATCTGGGTTTAAGATAGTCAATAACAAATCTTCATCATTTTCATGCCTTTTTGATGAAATAAAGATTTTAAAAAATACAATTCTAAATGTTTGATCTGGGGAACCATCCACAAGTTTCCTTATCCATTTTTAGAAATTTCAGTACTCTTGAGTTATTTTATGAAAAAAATTTACTTGTCCAATCAAATATAGGGGATCTTAACTTATCTAATATTTTAAAGTGTTTTTGTGTTCCCACAATATAATATATTGACCATACATATATAATTTAGTTTATTTACAGTTTACTAAGTTGAACTAATTTCTTTTTAAGGATTTTGATGCCTGGTTTAATACAAATAATTGTCTTGGAGATACTTCACTTGTGGAGAGATTGCATGCAGTAAGTTATTATTTTCAATAAAATACTCTATATGTGTCTCATAAACTTGTGTATTTTTTGTGCCTAAGCTTAATTTGTCTGATTATAGACTAAGTTCCCTATTTCAAAGATTATTTTGTGTGAAAAGTTTTACATCTATATCAATCTTTGCACAAGCAGAGCATTTCTATTTAAGTAATCTTAAGTATAGTTTTATTTTAATCAAATTACTTAAGAATTGCTAAACTTCTATTTGTACTAATACAGTAGAGAACCATTTATCCGGTATCCAGATAACCGGGAAACCAGAAAACCGGGAGAAATTTTGCTCGAATTTCCCGCCATTTTAAACTAGAACGAAAAAAGCGGAAATTGGACTCATCCTTGAAGTTGAGTAAAGGAAAATGTAAGTAAGGGGAAGATTTTTTTCCCCGTTTACCCAGAGAAACGTCATTTCCTCCGTGACCTTGAAGGCAGGGAAGGGAGGAATGTTTTATTTTTTCCTTTAGGCCGTCAATCAAACTCAAGGGTGTGGCATGCTGATTTCGTTTTCTGCTTGATTTACGAGGGGGGTGGGGAAAATGCATTGCATNTTTAAACAACTTTCCAATTATCCGAACCATGTTCAGTCCCGAGCAGTTCGGATAATCGGCGCTCTACTGTATAAGTATTTTAGTGATCCCATAATATATTGACCACACATATATAATTTAGTTTATTTACAGTTTACTGAGTCTAACTAATTTTAATTTCTTTTTAAGGATTTTGATGCCTGGTTTAATACAAATAATTGTCTTGGAGATACTTCACTTGTGGAGCGATTACATGCAGTAAGTTATTATTTTAAATTTAAATACTCTTATAAGTGTCTCATAAACTAATGTATTTTTTGTGCCTAAGCTTAATTTGTCTAATTATAGACTTAAGTTCCCTGCTTCAAAGATTATTGTGAAAAGTTTTGCATTTATATCGATCTTTGCATCATCAGAGCGTTTCTATTTAAATAATCCTGAACAAAGTATAGTTTTATTTTTAATCAAATTACTTAGGAATTTCTAAACTTCTAATTGTACTAATTCTATATACTTTACTACTATATTATATTCTTTCACTCCGAAAATTACTTACACAGTTATAAAAAGCTCCACGTCTTCTTTAATCTTCAATTATTTCATCATAACTGTCAACTCTGTTTTTTTTTTGTTTTTTTTTTTTTGGTTATAAATAATAGTTTTAACTATATGCAAAAGCTTTTAAAAATTAAGCGACGCATGAAAAATTTACTTCAGTTTTCCTCTCTTTAATTTAAAGAAAACTAATTTTGATTGCTTATTGAAAAACTAATATCATAAATGATTTCATAACATATTTCTTTGTATTATTACTCGTAAGTTTTGTTATGTTGAGGATTGAGCTATTAAGAACATGATTTTTAAAGGAACTGAAATCTAAAATAAACATACCTATAATTGCATAATGATTTTTAATGTAATAATAACTTAATAGATTTCTTACCAAAATATTTTTTAATTAAATTTTGATGCTATTAAGTACTGTTGAAGCCATTAATCTGTTTTTACCACAATTGAAATTTTCTTGTCTATTTTATTTGTGCTTTTCCTATCAAACCTTTATTGTAAAAAGATTAATGTTGTACTATATAAAAATTATGCATTGTTTTAGTAATCAGTCATTTTAATTACTGTTTTGATTTAATTGTCAAGTGTAAATGAATACATCATAAATTGTTCTCAGGTTTTAAGGCCCTTCTTACTACGACGTTTGAAATCTGAAGTAGAGAAAAAACTGCCTCCTAAAAAAGAAATAAAGATTTATGTTGGTTTAAGCAAAATGCAAAGGGAATGGTATGTATTAATTTATACAAATTAATGATTTTTTACATTATTAACTAATAATTTTTATCTTTTTTCCCTGCATTAATTTTCATTTTTATACTTATTATCTTGCTTTACTGTTTCTTTAAATGCAGTTGTGTTAATTCCCATGAGCACTCATTTCCTCCATTCTAACTGCTATATGTTTCATAATTTTAATTTATTATTTGAGAAATTTTGTATAGTACTATTTGAGCCTCACAGTACATACGGGAAATCAACGTACAAGTCACAGATTGCTATGGGGTAAGATGTCTGGTTAGGGTTAATGCATGATAGTGTACAAATTTTTTCTTATATGTTACCTTAAATACCTTAGTTGGAACTGATATTTTATTTATATTTTTTAAAGTAATATCTGTGACAACTGCTCTTTACATTTTCATTGCTAGGTATACTAGAGTTTTGATGAAAGATATTGATATTGTCAATGGTGCAGGAAAAGTTGACAAAATGCGGCTGCTGAACATTCTAATGCAGCTTCGTAAATGTTGTAACCATCCCTATCTATTCGATGGAGCCGAACCAGGTATGCAGATTTTAATATTCAGTGAGCTTTAAAAAGAATGTCTTACATTTCATTTGCTTAACTTATTTTGTGATTTTTAAGGACCACCATACACAACTGATGAGCATCTTGTTTACAACTGTGGAAAGATGGTTATATTGGATAAATTGCTGCCCAAATTACGTGAACAGGGATCAAGAGTACTCATTTTCTCTCAAATGACAAGAATGCTGGATATTTTAGAAGATTATGTTTTATGGCGTCAGTATCCATACTGTCGTTTGGATGGGCAGACACCCCACGAAGATAGAGAGGTAATATAAATTTTTACACAAATTTAAATAGGTGGCATTTCAAAGTTTAAATATTCCTTATACTAATTATTATTCAAGTTTTTTTTTATTAATATTAGTTTTTACAATGAACAAAAGTTAAAAATTTGATTTGTAAAATATTTTAATTGTATTTATCTATTGGAGAAAAAAATTTCCTTCCAAGTACATTCAATAATATGAATTTCAGTATACATATTCAAATGTTTTATCATAATGAATTATACATAATGTACTTATCCAAAAAAACGCATCTGAAATTTTATGGGGAAAGATGTTTTTTGCAAAAAAAAACTCAATAACAAAAGATATTAGTGTGGCTAGCGTAACAAGCATGTTATGCAGTTAATACTTATACTTATTTTTGCTTATACTTATTTTTGCAGATTTTTTTTAAAATCTTGATATTTTAAATATATTTTTATTTATTACAACCCGTGAATCTCAAACCATACATTTAATTGCCTCTTTTTTGATGTGTTGTATTCGTGTGATTTCATTATAAATAGACATGGTTTTATCATCAATCTTTTTCAGGTACTGCTGAGCATTTAAGTTAGTTTTTTTTATGTTACAACAATTTGCAAACTGTGATAAAGGAGAAATATTTTTTTTTCAATATTTTATGTGCTGATAAGAAAAAACTTCATTGGTAAAAAGTATTTTCACTTTAAATTTTATAAATGTTAAAAAAAATTTAAAAAAAACTACACATTGATAAAAAAAAAAATTACAGATAATGTCTTCTTCCAGCAATCAAGTTTACATGTAATAAGTCACACTTGCAATTAAAATAATAACACGGAACATCAGCTAGCTTGGCAGCTTTGATCTTTAACAGAAAGACCAAAAAGCTTGTTTAAGTTTATAGACATTTAAAGAGTGAATTTATAACCTGAAGAGACAGTTACAGAACTTTAATTTACTAAATGTGACAGTCTTTTTATTTTTACTTAGCCAATAAACCATTAATTTTAGAGTTTTCTTATATATATATAAATATGAGAAATCATTGAGATTTTTAAAAAGAAAAAAATGGTAAAATGCAGAATTTTAATATATTAAAATATTTTTTTACCTTAAAATTCAATACATTTCCATCTACTGAGGATTTCAAAAATATATTAAAAGTTTTTAGGTCTATAGCTTATTAGAAAATAATCAAGATTGTCACTTTAAAAGATGAAAAATTATTTGAGAAAAATATTCAGATATTTGTGAAATTATAATAATAGCCATGGTATTTACAGGAATAGAAAGGATTGGTAGACCAACTCTTTATTTTTTATCATTTCTGGAAGGAAAAACTCACTTATTTTGTTTTAAATATGGGGAATTTATGAAATATAGAACTTATTCATTTCGGACAGTCTATTTTTTAGGCTCTTTGTTAAAAATTTAAAGAAATTAAAATCTTCAAAAAATTTTGAGATGAATAATAACCCTTTATCATATGTGTTTTTGGCAACCACAAAAGCCGATAGGTTATTGAATTCCTTATTAAAAAATATTCTTTTCTGCACTTGAAAATTGTCACCAATTTGAAATCCATACTTACTACTAAGGAAAGAAATGCAAAGGCTACAACCTTTTTTTCTTCTTTTTTTTCCTAAATTTTTAAATTGAAAATGCAGTATTTTTGTAACTGATTGTGCTCCGGATTTTTCACTAACCGTGATCCGGAGATCGAAGGTCCAGGCGTTTCAAAAAATCATTGGTTACAAAAGTTTTCAAAGGTGAAACTTAAAAACACAGTTTATTTTATTGTTTGTAAGAGAGAGCCAGATACTTTATATTCAAGATTAATATTAATTTTTTATCAGTAAATAGTTATTATAATCAGAAACTCAAGAAAAAAAGACTTTTTTGTAAATTTCAATTACTTCTCCAGGTTATCATAGGTATGTGTAAATGGTATAAGTATGTGTAAAATTTTAAATATATTTTAAGTAAACTAATAAAGATTGAGAAAAAGGAAGAAAAAAAACCTTGTTTAATTTTTTTTCAATTTAAACTTCTTTTTTTTTACTCAAGAAATTTTCCGGAATTTTGACTTGGGTTCACAATCACTCCTGGACTTACAAAACATGAAAATTCATTATTTATCATCATAATTATGATTTATGAATTTATTTTAAATAACAATTGTGCATTTAAATTGGGTGTGTCTGTTATTCAAACTTATTGATATACTACAGTTTTTTGTTTTTACTTTTAAATACTAAAATGTTTATTTTTCTTTAAAGCGTCAAATAAATGAGTTCAACATGCCAAACAGTGAAAAATTCATATTTATGTTGAGTACAAGAGCTGGTGGCTTGGGTATTAACTTAGCTACTGCTGATATTGTCATCCTGTTTGATTCTGACTGGAATCCACAAGTAGATTTGCAGGCTATGGTGAGTTTCTTCTATACAAATATGTTTCTTTCATATGTTGACCTAATAATGAATGTTAAGTGCATGTTGACTTAAAAATTTAAAAAACCTGCCAATCTATTATTTATTTCAGGATCGTGCTCATCGTATTGGTCAAACTAAAAGAGTTAAAGTATTCCGTATGATTACTGAAAACACAGTGGAAGAGAGAATTGTAGAAAGGGCTGAAGTTAAATTGAGATTGGATAATGTTGTTATTCAACAAGGTAAGCTCTTCTTTTATTTTAGATCAAGCAAGTATTCAGATCGAAACAATTACGCACATTTCGTCAAACTGCTCCAAAATAAAATGTCTGCTCTGAGCTGCTCCAAAAATTTTTATTTTTTCCCCCTCCAAAATTGCACCAGGCATCTCCAAAGCTAAAAATATTTGTTGAGCAAAAAGTTCAAATTTAACCTAGTTATGCATTGAATTTCAAAGTCAAAATTTTTTTTTGCTCTAAATTGAACTATTTTTCGATATTGTCACTTATCTGGCAACAAGTTGGGTGAGGTCCTATCTAATCAAATCAAGCATATCAGAAAGTGATTTTTAAACAAAACTGGAAATATTTCTGGGCTGACTCATATCTAGTTGGAGTATATTAAGTATACTAGGCGATACTAATTTATAAACTTACTGATAGCTTTGCAACACTGTCTAGATTTTTAAATTTGAAAAAAGAAAAAAAAAATGACTTTATCCTGATTATTAAAAGAATAATTACTTCCAATTCAGGTAGATTAGTTGATGCACAAGCTAAGTTGGGAAAAGAAGAAATGCTTGGCATGATTCGGCATGGTGCAGATCACATTTTTGCATCCAAAGAAAGTGAGATTACTGATGAAGACATCGATGCTATTTTGGAAAAAGGCGAACGCAAGGTATTAAGCCATTCTAAAATTATTATTAGTGTGGTGCCTCTTTATTATGTTTTAATAAAATGCCTATTTATTTTTTTTAATTGTTTTGATATAATTCTCAAAAGATGTATATTGGTATCAAATTTATTGTATTCTTTAAAAAAAACGTTAAGTATACTAATTTTGAAGTAAAACTGTGTGGGGTTATCTTGACAAACTGCTTCAGTTTAATGTAATTCTCCTAATTTATAAGATTCATCTCTCTCTCTCTTTAATTGCCTATAGATATTTTCTTTATTTGTTACAGAATTGAAATACATAAGCTGTGCTATATGACATCTGTCTGATTCCAAACTGAATGTTGTATTGTACAAAGCATATTAAATTTAATTATAAAATTTATTAAAATCATCTCCGGCTCTTCAATTGCCTGTAGTTTTCTTTATTTATAACTGAATTGGACTGTGTGACTTGTCTACAGCTAATTGTTGTAATGCCCAAAAAATTTGCATTGTATACAGCATCCAGAAGCTAAAAAAGAAAATTCATTTGTTTTATGTTTAATATCCTAAAACATTTAGAATACCAGTAATGAAAAAAGAAATTAGCTTGTGTAAAAAGTAAAAGATTTTTAGTTTACTAGAAAAAATTTAATACTGCAATATAATTTTTTCAAATATCTAAGCTTTTTGATAATAACTATTGGAATGGCTTTGTAAAATAAGAATAATTTTCTGAAATTGTAAAGAGTAACGCCTTTAAACAAGAAAAAATATATTTTAAGAAATCACATTTTTCATCGAATTTTCTTCTTTTTGTTTTATAAAGTTTGACAAAATATTCAGTGTCCAATTCATATGTACAACTAATTTCTATACTTAAACAAATCAAAACATCAATTTTGCATGCAATTTTAAAACAAAAATAATTTCCCTAATACCGACTAAGGACCTTTTTAGCTACGCATAATCCAATTAGTTTTTAAGCCCTTTTAAATCTTTTTTGTATGTAACTTACTACTGTCTTCAGTTAGTTCTTAAATTATAATATACTGATCTATATATTGTGCAACTCTTGCGTTATTTTTTTATTATTTAGCAAATGTAGTTATCAATAACTAATTTCTGGTAATTTGAAACTTCTTTTTTTTTACAGACATTGGACATGCAAAAGAAGCTTGAGTCAATGGGAGAAAACACCTTGCGTAACTTTACGCTGGATGCTCCGACTGAAAGCGTGTATCGCTTTGAAGGTGAAGATTACAGAGAAAGGCAAAAGGTATTCTTCTAATGTATGACTTTTTTTCTTTTTCTTTTTCCTGAGGTGCAAGTATTAAACCAAGTTGCTATTTTAGATCGCTGGAATAGGACACTGGATTGAACCGCCAAAGCGAGAACGTAAAGCTAACTATGCCGTTGATGCCTACTTTAGAGAAGCTCTTAGGGTCAGTGAGCCAAAGGCTCCAAAGGTAAGCAAATATTCAAAATGATTTTTCTCCTTTTAAGTGTAAGCAGAAGATAAGTTTTTTATTCTACTTTTTTCCATTTTTTATACCACTTTCTTATATCTCTTAAATATCCTGCTTGTTGTAGGCGCCAAGACCTCCTAAACAACCAACCATTCAAGATTTTCAGTTTTTCCCTCCAAGGCTTTTTGAACTACTGGATAAAGAAATCTTTTACTTCCGAAAGACCATTGGATACAAGGTGAGATTGTGTATTTGCTAATGAAAGACTGCCTACCAGGGTTAGCTGGTTTAAACCACTTATTTAAATAAATAAAAAAATTTAAAAACGAAGTTTTCTCATATTTTTTTACAATTTTGAGTTAAATTGCAAACAGGAATTTTTATTATTTAAATAGATATAAATATGCAATTTTTAAATGTTTATATAGAATTAGTTTCGATAAAAATACCTATGTAAAATAAATTAATGTGAACAAAATTTAGGTTAATCAGGATGTCTTAAAATAAAATAGAAATGTAAAATATAGTATCCATGCATTCTATTTTTAAAATTTATTAAATCAGGTAATTAAAAGTATCTCAAATTATAATTGTATATGCATGTTAAAGATGCATAATGCTTGCTAAAGTCAAAAGTATAAATGGGTGAACTGTTGGCTAGATTTCTAATTCTTAATTAAACAAGGAAAACATTGTTCAAGGGATGAGATTCTCTTTATTGACAATTTCAGTGATATTTATGAGATCTCTCAGGTCCCACAATTCAAGAGTAAACTGTATAAAAAATATCGATGCCTAATGAACTTGATGAAAAAAGAATTCTAAAAATTATCAAATAGCATCGGTCGTCATAGCAACGGGTGCCAAGATGGCTCATGCACACTGTTTACCTTTTCTTATAAATTTTATTTCTTCTGTTTAATTTTAGAATTATTTCTTGTTACTTGGTTAAACAATTTTTTATTGTATGTATTCATTCTTGGAATATTTCAAATTACAATTTTTATACCATAAAAGAAATATAGTTTTAAGATAATAATTTCAAAATATATTTAAAATATTTTACTTAATGCTGCAATACATCAAACTGAACAACGTTATGTTTTAAGCTCCATTATGTTAAAATGAATGACAGAAAACTAAAATACTTCTACTATTTTATATGTTACTATTTATGCGTTTGTATTTATGCTATCAATTTTTCTCCTTTTCCTTCATTCTATTTTAAACATTTCTCAATTGAAATTATACATTTTCTTTAATATCTCATGGTTCTTTATATTAAAATTTTTATTAATTCAAGAAATTTTCATCTTCACAATTAATTGATATTATTGCTACAAATTGTATACAGCTAAATAATGACATAAATATAAATAACTATATTAAACTTTTATGCAAGGGAGAAACTTCTTTTTTACATGCGCTACTAAAACAACATTTAGATATTAAATTCTTATTTGCATGTTGAGTGCAGTTGTAAAGTATCAAAGAAGCTTATTTGAAATCTCTGATTTATCTAAGTTGCATATTTATGAAACAGAAATTAATATTTATAAATTATTTATACAAAATATTAGTCAATCAATTGTTAAAAAGCATGTAAAAATGTTTTATGATGGTTTGGTTACTTTTAATTTGAGGCTTAAAATATTATTTAACCTTTGGTTTTCAATACCAAAAATACTGGGTTTAAGCAACCAAAAAAGAAAAGCTGGTGTAAACCAAAATGTTGTTTCATCATTATTGATTTTAAACATTATTTTTGTTTAAACTGAAAACATTTTCTCAAATGTAAGATTTCCATTGTCGACTAAAATGCTACCATTTGCGACTTTTTTTCTTACTTGGAATGTTTATGAAGACTTTCTTTGAGTAAAAAAAAAAAATGCATAACAACCATTTTTCCTAAATCATCACTTGTTTAAGATTTGGCAACGATTTTCTTCTATATTATATAATAACTAACTAACTCAGTGGCGCGACAGCCCATTAAGAGGGCCAAGGCCGACTGTGCCCATCTCAGTTTTCTTGACCTTGGGCTCTGGGGTGCAGGAGCATATGTTCCGGTCAGGTGGTCAGCCGAACGCGGAACCCCCAGTGTCCCAGAAGCAGAAAGTGCCTAAAACTGTGACGTACGTCGCATAACAAACCGAAGTCCTGCAGAACAATTTGTATCTTGAATAAGAGACACAAATTTCAGCACATTTATCAGTAATCTCCCTCTTCCGTATTTTTGCCATTCTGAGGAGGGAATTAGTGAATTAGGTTATGGATATAACTTCTTTATAATATGGGTGTATCAGTTTTAAGCATACAGCAGGAGAAATCGATCACCATTTTTATCAAGAGAGCTTCTAAAGCAAGCCGTAAAAGAATTAAATTCAGAGATTTCCAATTTCGTAAAGTTTATGACTTTTATATTTTCCATTCCCATTTCAGAAGCAATTTGTGAATCGTTGGGATCCACGATTAACAGAATTGTTTGTGAAAGACCAAATGCTTTCGATGGAGATGAAGAAGTTGTTGGAAAAACAGACCAACGAATGTTTGTGTTTGCAAATGGTGCACCATCTGGGCACTTGTCCCTTCGAAAGATTTTTAAGGCAGCCCTTATTTTAATGTTCGGACCTTCATATCATATGCATTTTATTAACAATTCATTCTCATCATCGTCATTAACAAAATTTTGTGCTTCAAGAGTGATTGAAAAAGTAACAAATCAAAAATGTTTGCCTTGGTTTAAAAATAATGTATTGTATCTGTGTGTAATCCTGTATTTTAATAAATGAAAATATAGTATTTAACGTAAAGTTGACTTTGTTTCGCTGGGAAATTCTTGCAGAACATTTGTATAAATTAATAAGTCCCGTTGCAGAACATTTGAAAATATTCTGCTTATGGG